AATACCGGGATGCTGTGTAAAGCTACGAAGAACCCAACGAGCCTTGTATCTGTCCAGCGAGCCATCAGCGTGAAATTTATGTTTGAAAATCCACTTGCCTATGACCACGTTGGCCTCGTCGGGGCGAGGAACAAGGTTCCAAGTGTGATTTTCCATGAGAGCAGCATATTCATCTTCCATGGCGCGACGCCAGTTAGGATCAGCAAGGGCGTTGCGGCAAGACCGGGGAATCGGGGACAGAGCCTCGGCGTGGAGATGGAGGCATGGCTGTATGTATCCAGACTTCCCACGGGTCATCATGCCATGAGTATTGTCGACCGGTGGGATGGGGACAGCACCAACAGGACATGGATGATCAGCTTTGATGAACTGTGGTGGAGATGGGATGATGTTGGAGCGGCGAGGAGGAGTGGTAGCTGGTGGTGGTGTCGGCGGTGAAGGAGGAGCAGCTGGTGACGGGCGCCGGGAGTAGACATTGTTGAAACGGGAAGCAGGCGGGGCCACAGGGGCGCCTGGGCTGCTGCTGGCGGCACAGGCGACAGGGTGCTGCTGGGGCTGGGCAATGCCAGAGGCAGCACAGGGTGCTCTTGGAGCCGGGCAGGGCGAGGCAGGCTGACAGGGGTCTTCTTGGTGTGCCGACAGGAGCACTGGAGGGCGCCCAAGGCACCGTCAGTGTCTGTTGTGCCACGGGCGGGCGGGCGTCTTGGCGCGGAGAAGCCTAGTGGTGGAGGAGGCCGGACGCCTGCCCAGGCCGGGCTGAGGGGCCAGAGCACCGACGAGGTGTCGTCAGGCAACTCGGACGTAGCCTGCGGCACGGTCTGTAGAGGGGCGTCGAGAGGCCGTACAGATGTACCTGCAGAAGGTGAGGGAGCTGGTAGAGGCTCATCATTAGTTAGAAAATCAAGCTCTTCGGGAGGTGAGGTCCGGTGTCTAGAGAAAGGAAAAGTCATCTCGTCAAGATGACATGACGAGAGATGATGACACGGTTGGAGGTGAGGTCGAGACACCGTAGCCTTTGTGATCGGGGAGTAGCCGATGAAGACACACAAAGTGGAGCGTGGGGCAAGTTTGTGGGGGGGGGTGGTGGCGGTGAGGTTGGGATAGCAGGTGCACCCAAAAACTCGAAGTTCATGGTAGGAGGGTGGAGTACCATGGAGTGCGAAGAAGGGAGTAGTCATGTTGAGGGTCTTGGTGGGAAGACGGTTAAGAACATATGTGGGCGAAGGGAAAGAGCGTCGGCCAAGAGGGGAGGGGGGCATGGACGCTTGGAAGAGTAGCGTGCGGATGACATTGTTAGTGGTGCGGATGGTGCGCTCAGCTTTGCCATTTTGCTGAGAGGTGTAGGGACATGACATGCGAAGAGAGACACCGTGAGAGAGGAAAAAGGTGTGGGAGACATAATTGTCAAACTCGCGACCGTTGTCACATTGGACAGATTTGATGGGGCACCCAAATTGAGTACGAACATACGCGAAGAAACTAGAAAGAACGGAAAAGGTGTCAGACTTAAGGCGAAGTGGAAAGGTCCATAGAAAATGAGAAAAGTCATCAAGGATAACTAAATAATATTTGAATCTAGATACACTGAGAACAGGCGATGTCCATAAATCACAATGTATCAGATCAAATGGTTTGGAAGCCCTTGACGAAGAACTAGTAAACGAAAGACGCACATGACGTCCTAGCTGACAGGCATGGCATAAATGGTCATCAGCAGGCTGACTGCAGGCGATCGAAGAGGAGTGAGTGAGGCGTTGAAGAGCTTCCTTGCCGGGGTGACCAAGACGGCGGTACCAGATGGACGATGAAGGAGTGGCGACAAGAGTGCAGGGAGCAGAAGGCGTCGATGGTAGCTGCAAGGTGTAGAGGGGCCCCGAGCTGTTACATCGAAGGAGGACGTTCCTGGTACGAAGATCCTTCACAGAAATGCCAGAGGGGTCAAACTCAATAGAAACATGATTATCAGTAGTGAATTGGCGAACTGATAAAAGGTTTTTAATAATGCCAGGAGCAAGAAGAACATTGTTAAGGCGAAAAGGACCGGGAATGATCGAGTAGCCAGTGCCAACAACAGGGAGAGTGGCACCATTACCCACCACGATGGAGGAGGAAAAGGGGGAAGAGGATGTGCGGGTAACAATACCAGGGTTGGAGGCGATGTGGGAGGAGGCACCGGAGTCGAAAACCCAGTCTGTGCTGTTCGGCGGAGTGGGTGGAGTGAGCGAGACGGTGCTGAAAGCCTGGGCGAGGGAATGAGGATCCCAGGGAGACCATGCTGGAGGTGGCGCATGAGGAGTAGGTAGCAGCGGCGGTGAGTAGAGGCCCGACCCTAGTGGAGGTGCCAGGTAGCCAGGGGAAGGCACGCCAGCCATCATGGCGTGCTGCTGAGGAGGAGGGACGCCGGTGCGTGCTGGTGGAGTGCGAGGACCGCCAGGCGTGGGGCCGGGCCACATGTGAATGGAGCCGGACCACGGGTTGTAGAGGGACGGCCACTGGGGGCCGCCTTGGTTGCCCTGGTTGCGCTTCCATGCATGCGACGCCGGCCACGGCCATCGCTTGCAAGAGCCCCTATCTTCGTAGGGAGCACGCCCGAGATGAGGGGGGCGGCGGAGAGGCGAATCGGGTGCCAGCGTGAGGAAGGCGGCCCGCTTGATGAGGAGGCGAAAAAAGGCGGAAGGGAGCCACCGAGGGCACACCATGTTGAGCTCGGCGAGACGAAGATCGATCATGGACGTCCGCAAAATGGAGGGAACGGCTTCGCCGAAAGTGATGAGTTGAGCCATGAACTAGAACCGCTCATTGAGGCCCCGCAAGAAGACGCTCAAAGCCAAGCAGCGGTCATTGAGGGGTTCACCAAGATCGCCGAGGGCGTCGGCCATGCCCTTCATCTTGCGGCGGAGTCATCAACGGAGAGATCGCCTTGAGAGATTACGAATTCAAAGATCAAGGAGCAAAGCCCGGGACTCACGGTTCCCGAGAATTGCTTTGCTCCACCCGAAGCCAAGCCACCCGGCAAAGGACACCGTCGTGCTCGTGGATGATGTCGAGGAGGTCGGTGGAGATGCTGTTGAAGATCCAGGAGACGACCACGCAGTCCATGCGGTACCAGACCGGGTCGGTGGGGCGGGAATCGTCGCTGAGGACATGGTCCTTCAGGGAGTACCGACCAAGAGCAAGGAGAAGGTAGCCGCACCACTTGGAGTAGTGGGGGGGCTTGAGGTCGAGGACGATGGGGACCAGGTACTTGATGTTCGACGGACGGCGCGCAGCTCGGCTGTGCAGTGCGCGCAATAGCAGCAGCCTCAGAGGAGACGGAGTGCTCGTCGTCGTCGTGGGCTTCATTGTCGTGGATGGCCTCCAGACGAAGTCGCTCCCGGATGGCGCCCGCTTACGCCTCGTATGCGTCGGCCGTCTTGCGCGCTCCTTGATATAGGCGTCGGCGGCAGACGACGACGCTGCTCTGGCCGCAGCGGCGGACTTGAGAAGGTCCGCCTCCTTCTGGAGCTGGACGGCGCGCTCGGTGTTGGCCGCTCGAGTGGCGGTGGCTTCTTCCTCGAGCCGCAGGCGGCCATGGTGTATCATCGTCACAGCAAATAGGCAGCGCTAATGGCGATAGAGAATGGCTCATGGCAGCGGTGAGGCGCCGATCTTTGGAGGTGCCAGTGAGAGGAGGCGGTGCGGCGGCTGAAGCGGCCATAGGCGCGAGCGGAAGCAGATGAGAGGAAGGGGCGGAGGCAGCGTGCGGAAGCAGAGAAGACGAAGGGGCGGAAGCAGAGGAGAGGTGGGCGGAAGAGGAAAGGTCGGCACAGGACCTGAATTAGGCGTCTGATACCATGAAGGCAGAATGCCAACCAACTTAGATTATGTTTATATAGGGATTACAAATATATAGAGCCTTAGCCTGGGAAGGCCAGGGGCTAAGCCCACATAGGGAAGCGCATAGCAGAGTAAATAGGAGTACCTAAAACAATAACCAAGGAGACACTATGGTAATCTAACAGTAACTACAGTAGATATAATAGTTCTTTGTGGACTACAGCTGCAGCTTCAAAATCTACCGCGAGCAGAACCAAATTTATCATAGTACCAGGTCAAAATTTTAAATCTGAACAAATTTATATGAAAACTAAAATTATGTAATTAAAATTTATCATAGGACATTTTTTATAATATACTGTACATTTTTTGTATTATATAATATTAATACTTTTCTCTATCAGTCTGCGGATCAGACTGCCATGTCTATCGGCAGTGCTGTAGCTGTTGTGCCAAAAAAAAAATTGATCGGACAAGGTGCCAAATCTACTACAGCCAATCCACAGCAGTCCAAACCGTAACAAAAAAAAAAAAGAATCACAACCTGGCAGGCCTTATAAATCTAGTCAAACATTAAAATTTTTGATAAGCTATAATTCGTCATTTTCTGGACAGAGACATTATAATATTATATATATAGTAACTTCAACGAGGGACCAGTTCATCGGAAATCAAAACCATCACGTATCAGTAGTAGCAGTACTGGATGCTGGTTGTTCGCCCGCCACCCACCAGTCCACACCAGGAGCAAAATCAGCAAGCGGCAGGTCTGGTCCCACCACATTCTCCTCTCCCTCAACACGGATGCCAGCCTATCGCTAGCCGCTGAATGACACCCGGGCCTGAAGCTTGCTTCAGCGAATAACGAGGCGAGTAGATTGGAACCAGACGCAGAAAATGAGATAAAACTGGCCAGAAAATTCCCTTTCTTCGGCTGTCTCCTCCCTCCGGCGTGAGGTGGCGCCATCGCGAACTCGTGGGCTGCTCTTGTTCCTTGTTCCGCTGTTCGCCTTCACCCGCCGTTATATAAGTTCGGCCGGGAGGATCATTCCAAAAAGTCCACACCTCCCCACGCCAGTCTGTGCGGTGCGGGTGCCCCCACCCCCTCCGGGCCTCCCCCGTCGTCTCCCTCCGCTTCGGCATTTAGCGCTCCCGCGAGAGATCGAGGACGAACCGGAGACAGGATGGCCCCCGGCGGGCGCCGGCGCGTGTTTGCCACCTTCGCCGCTGCGGCGATCGCTCTGATGCAGGTGAGTCCCCAGCTCATGATTCTCGACGGGTACTGACTGTACTGGCGTGGGTGTCCTTGGGTTTCGCCGCCGCCGCCGCCACTCCGAAGGGTCGGGGGGTTTTGGGATGAGGTTTTGGTCATGCTTGGGGTCTCCAGCCTGCATAACCGTCTCTTGGGTTGCTACTATTTTTTGCACGGCTGCATGAGGTAGATGCAATTTTGGTTGGAGCGGTTCGTAGCTTCAATTTTAGTAATTGCCGCAGAGTTACCGGGTTTTTGGAATTTACCGTTGCATTGTGGCTTTTGTGAGTTCCCATATAGGATTGAGACATCCGAACTTGGAAGAATATCTGAGATTCCCTTTTACACGTCTTAGTCTGACCAATTTTTATACTCAGTAACTAACTGACATGTATTGGGGTTTCGGTTTCGCGGATCGACATCATGTAGTTTTGTCTCATTGGTGTTGGGGTTATTTTCCTAGGTTGGGTCACCAACTTAGTTCGATTTTAGTTAAACCCGAGGGAGTTTAGTTAGATTTTTTGTTTCACTGTTGGGTTGTAGTAAGCTATGCTTTGCCTGTTTGGTCATAACTTTCCGTTTTTATATTTTTGCTTTGAAATGCACGCTATCAGGATATATCTTACGGGTTTGTTGTAATGTTTTTCTGAATTCCCCCTTTTATCACATTTTGATTTGAAGGGTATCTGCTCCTTTAAAGTTGGATGGTCAACTTTGATTCTTGTTATAAGATGTAATGTAATTTGTTGCTGCATTAGTCCTTGTACAGGATTGGAACTTCGACACGACTCTATTTGCAATTCATGTCGTGATGTTCCTTAGTTGAACTCTCTTTTGCAGGCTTCACATGGAACTTCCATTGTATAATTATAATCTGTTTCCACATGTTTTTCCGCATTTTGACCTGGAGAATTGATTACATTCATGTGCCCCATAATCCAACAACTGTATTCCGATTTCAAGCTATTCAGAAGTTGCTAGGTTACAGTTGCTGCTGACTCGGTGATGTCTGCATTAACCTTTTAATTTTATCTATAAAAGTTATTTCTAGACTATATTTCTGAATTCTATGGATTAAATTATGGCCATACTGCCCCCTGAGGATTTGAAACCATAACAGTATCACCCAATCACCTCTGTATTTTCCTGCAAACACTGCTAGTAGTTCCTATTTATTTACAGGGGTGACAGAGAGACGAGTATGCAGTTAATAGGGGTAAATTATGTTGATAGCTAAGATATCACTTCTTTACTTTTTCTGTTATGTGTGTATATGGAGCGAAAGCAATATTTAATCTGGATCATGTATAGTGTGTAAGTAGGCTATCATATAGATAAAAGTTCATTTTACAAGTATGTTGATATGGTTGTACTTCACTGCGATTCAGATGGTCTAAATAACATGTAACTCTTTTTTACTATGGAGCAGATCAGTTTTCTAGTGTTTCCGATCAGCGCACAGCAATCCAATGGCTCAAGGTAATCTGTCAGAATGACCTGTGTTTTACTGAGTGTAGCTAGAAAGTCTAAGATATGCCCGATTGCTTCTAGAATATGCTACTGTGTTTTACTATTTTACATTTAAACATGGTGTTTCATATTCCTGGAGGCTGGACCCCTTGGTGATCATCTATCTTACCATTTTGCTTTTGTAGGGTTGTACCAGCAGAAGGTTACTGTTCCATGTACGGCATTTGTGCGCAACGAAGTGATGGGAAGGTCTTAAACTGTGCGAATGCAACCAAAGCTGTTAAGGTGACAATATGATCCTTGGACCTTGATTTGAATATAACATAGTTGGAGAAACCCTATATATTTGCAAAAAAAAAAAAATTTATGATTATTCAAATGTGGCCTGTTTATCAAGTGTTGTTATTGCTTTTCCAGCCAGACACTTTGTTTTCTTCAAGGATCCAAAGTTTGTGCCCAACAATCACTGGCGATGTCTGTTGTACTGTAGATCAGTTTGACACATTACACCACCAAGTCCAACAGGTAAATGTGCTGATTGCTGAAGATGTACATGGACCGTGCACTTTAATAAGCAAATCAATGTGGTAATATCACTTGTGTTTGATATAGATCAAATGATCAATCAGGAAAGTCATGTTAATGAGTGCTTAACATTCACCAATCGCAGTTAATCTTCAGTAAAGTTGTCTTTGCAGTATATGATTTTTTTTTTTCAAGAAGAAATGTTTGGTGAATTTGTGACCAGCTAACCTGAACTGCTGAATATTTTGTTAGTGACAAGTTACCTTTGTTTTACATGAGGTTCATGTTTGCTTCATAGGTCATCCCTCCACTCGTTTCGTGCTAATGCATACTTCTATCTACCAGCATGTAGAGCCTCTGTCAACAAATACATTTGCCTAATTATTGATTATTTGTTTGTTGCTGGTCTTTGTCATGACCAAAGTTCAGCTAGGCGCTGGGCGGAATCTAGGCGCGGACCCATTGCCTAGCACCTAGTCGGGAGTACTCGGTCCTAGGCGCTCCTAGGTGTTTTCCTAGGCGTTTTGGCAATATAGCCATAAATTATATATATATATATATTATGTATATAACTATATATATGTATATAAGTATATAATTACTATATATGAGTCACAGTAAGTATAAAAAGAGGGCCAACAGACATATCTGATTCTTAGCTGGCTTACTCTTGCATGTTCCTAGCTCCTGCAACACATTTTGACAGCTAGTAGTTAGTAAATTAGTCAATACACAGCTAGCTATTCATAAAAAAAACACTAAGTTGTGACTTATCTGGATGATTTCAGCAGCCTCCCATCCATGAGCACACCATATCAGCAGCTGGTAATTACAATACAAGTGGATAGGACAGTAATACAAGTGCACAGCACAATTTATAAATAAAGGACAGCACAAGCACATAGTTCTTAGTTTAGGTCTCACAAATCACAAAAGAAGACACACAGACACAAAGTGACACAGCTGCAGTTCATAAGACCAGGGCATCACAAAAGGCTTCACTACTAGATGGAGATGGTCCAGATCATATTTCTTCTTCACTGTAGTACACATCCTCATCGTCATACTCTTCTTCTTCATACTCAAATTCTTCTCCTTCATAGAGCTCCCTCACTCTTACACTTCTACGCAGCTGAAGCTGTTCATCTGCTCCCACTGCCTCTCCAATGACAGACCAAGGTATCCCTGTACCTTCCATCTCATCTTCCTCCCCATTTCTAAAGTCAACTAATGCACAATCATCCCCACCCTCTTGGAGAAAACCTTGAGCTTCAGTTGTATCACTAGACAAGAGAACATCAGTGATTTTGTTTGACTTGGTCTTTTGTCTCTTACTAAGCAGCCTGGAGTTGAATTGGATATACACGAGCTTGTTGAGGCGGGTTGTAGTAAGCCTATTCCTCTTAGTGTGTATCTACAATTTAAAAAGAGCATTCTCAGTTCTACAATTTAATTGTAATGCTGCTGAAACTGAAATGTTCATAATAGATAGGTACTAACCCTTTCAAACCCACTCCAATTTCTTTCACAACCAGAAGAGCTTGATGTCAAAGATAGGATCCTTGTAGCCATCTTCTGTAAAGCTGGTGTTTCATATCCATACAGTCTCCACCATGATGCTGAAATAAAAAAAAACACCTCTATTAGTTTAGAAAACAGCAAACAACAAACAGCCATGAGCCATGCAAGCTTATAGGAAGTACCTCTACCTGGGTTGTAATCAAAGTTTTCAAAAGTCCTAGCAAGCTTCTTGCTAAAGGGTCCTTCTCTATTCTGAAACTTCTTTAGTTCAATGTTGGCAGCCTTATGCTGCATGTCCTCATCATGATAATAAAATTTCTCAACACAAGCTATAAACCCTTCTGATATTTTGGGCTGATCAAAGATTGATGGGTCACTATAGCTATAGTGAGGATTCAGCAAATAGGCTGTCAAATGCAATGGAGAATCAAGCCTTCCATTCATCTTCTTGTCAATAACAGCTGTTACATCCTTGAACCGAGCCTCAACATTTCCAAAGGCCTCTTTGATCTGTCTCTTTGCCTTTAGTAGTTCTCCATAAAGGAAACCCATGGATGTCCTCACATCCCCATCAACCAAACGGAGGACTTTGACCAATGGCTCAAAAACAGTCAATGTTAGCTTCACATCCTTCCAAAAGCTTGGACTAAATTTAGTTGCTGTTGTCTCTTTTCCTTTCTTTGATTTCACATCCTTCAATGAGTTCCACCTACTATGAACCACCATCTTCCTTAACTGGTCCTTCTCTTGCATGCTACTCAAAGTGAGAAAGTTTGAAGCAAACCTAGTTACTCCTGGCCTCACTACCTCTTTCTCCTCTGTGAAGTATCTCAAGCACTCCAATGTCCTTGTGTGGCCATAGACAAATATGGTAAATGCCTTTGCTTGGTCAACCACTTTCTTGAACCGAGTCATGTTGCCAATTCCTTGGAGCATAAGGTTGATTGTGTGAGCTGCACAAGAGGTCCAAAATATGTGTGGTCTCTTCTCTTCCAATAGCCTCTTTGCTCTCATGTTGTTAGAGGCATTGTCAGTCACTACTTGCACCACATTGTCTGGACCAATCTCTTCAATTGCTTTGTCCACAAGATCAAAGATGACCTCACTGGTATGTGAGACATGTGACATCTCCTTAGAGCTGATGAAGGAGGTTCCATCAGCACAATTGGTGCATAGATTCATTATGCTTCTCCTCTTCCTATCTGACCAAGCATCAGTCATAATAGAACACCCATTTTTCATCTTCTCGGCTTCACACTCCTGCAGCAAACTCTTGGTTCTTTCATATTCTTCTTCCAGTAACTTCCCTCGTAGTGCATCCTGAGTTGGAGGTACAAGTCCTGGACCAAACTGTCCAATTGCTTCGCACATTTGCTTGAACTCATCATTATCACATGCATTGAAAGCAATTCCTGCCAACACAACATTGAAAGAAGCATAATTAGTGTTCAGTACAGGAAAACAACATCTAATGAACTTTGAAATGTAAAAACAGCATAGTATACTAGCAATTTACCATGTGTATAGGCCCATCTTGCAATGTACTTATGCACCTCATTGGTTCTTTCTTTCCAAAGTTCCTTGTTCAGTTGCTGTTGCTTCAAAGAATCAGACTTGGTAGCTTTAGGATCAATAGCACATGTCCATTTGTCAATGGGTCCTAATTTGTGGGGCTCTGAACTTCCAACACAGGTGACTTCATCTGAATCTGTTCCAACCCTAGATACATGAACTTCCTCTCTAATTTCTAGCTCACGAACAGTCTTCTCCTCCCTCTTCCTTTTTGCATCAGCTAGTGCCTTCTTGCACTTCTCTTTAGCCTCCATAGCCTGTGGTGTTCTTGCTGTGCATTTCTTCACATTCTTTCCTTCATGAGCCAAATGCTCCTTCAACCTATGAATCCCTCCTCTCATCTCCTTGTCACAGAGCTTGCACTTCACCTTGTCCCTGTTGCTAGCATCAACAAGAACACCATATTCCCATCCAACATCATCCGAGTTCCTTTTTAGGAGATTAGTTGCCTCAGTTCCTGTTGCATCTGGTGCAGAAACACCTTGTTCTGTCGACATCCTACATTCAAATTCAAGAGTTCACCAATGAATTCAAATACAGGGGAGATGAGCAGGGGAGGAGTTGCCGCCATGGGAGGGGAGAGGAGCATGGGAGGGAAGGGAGCTCACCTTGGGGACTTTGGGTGGCCGGCGGGGAGGGGTTCCAGTCGAGGACGAGCAGGACGGCGGCGGCGAGTCAACGACGAGCAGGACCGGCGGCGCGCGAGTCGGGGATGAGCTTGGACGAGCAGGGGAGGAGGACCGGCGGGAGGAGCAGAGGAGGAGGACCGGCGGGAGGAGCAGAGGAGGAGGACCGGCGGGAGGAGCAGAGGCGGGGACGAGCGAATGGCCTACTAATCCTCCCACGGCTGGGTCTCGTGGCCGCGCACGGGCCTGGCCGCGCAGGAATTCCTCCCGCACTCCGATTTGGCGCGTCAAAACTGGCTGCCCTTGAGCTTGCGCTCATCTCGCGCGCCTACGTGCCGCGTCCGCGCCCGCCTAGCGCCGCGATGCGCGACTATGCCCCTAGTCACGGCGACAGGCTTCGCCCAACGACTAGGTGCGCGTAGTCGCCGAGTAGGCGCCGCCTAGCCGAACTTTGGTCATGACATTCTTACTGTATTTCCTAATAGGCAGTGCTACAGCCAATTGGTTGCATTTTCAGTACATTATTATCTATTAAATTAAATGTGAATTGGTGACTATTCTCTGCACACTCACAAGCCTTTTTCTCTACAGGTTCTATTATGAAATTTGAATACATTCATAAGGAGTTTCTCTTAGTCAAATGTCTTGATTATTTTTTGCACGCCAAATGATCTAGTGGCTCCTTGGTGGTTTCTACTCTAGATCTATGTTCAATATAAAACTTCACTCCATGGTCTTTAAATGTTAACTTTTTGCAGGCTGTTCCATTTCTTGTTGGATGCCCGGCATGCTTGAGGAATTTCTTGAATCTCTTCTGTGAGATGTCTTGTTCTCCAAACCAAAGCCTCTTCATTAATGTGACTTCAATAAAACAGGTCTTTCTTTTCTTAATTCATCTACTTCACCACCATAAAAATTTCCTACGAGATTCTATCAGCCCCATTTCATATGGTTTTGTGCAACCATTTATTTGCTTAAACTGCTAGCTCACTATGAAAAGACATTTGTAAATACTTTGTATGTTCAACTTTTACAGGTGCACTTTTGTCTCTTTTTTTGCAGATTAATAGCACTATGACTGTCGATGGCTTAGATTACTATGTAACTACTAACTATGGTGAAGAGCTGTATAACTCATGCAAGGATGTTAAGTTTGGCACTCTGAACACCCGTGCAATGGATTTTATTGGTGCTGGTGCTAAAACTTACAAAGGTAAAATGGAAACCCTTTTCTGCTGCTGGGTATCAAGTTTAATGGCAACTTCGATTCCTGCACCCCATCTTGATGTGCATCCAAATTCATGTTTCCAGCTGATGTTATTAAGCCTTTTAGTGCCAGACTGGATAGTAGACTATGTAATTTTGATTACATTGGTTACTTTATCTCATTCTAATCATGTTTGACTGACTTGTATAATTCTTGGCATCTAAAGATTGGCTGGCATTTATTGGGCGACAAGCAAACCTTAATGAGCCAGGGTCACCGTATTTGATAACATTTCGATCGGATTTTAGTGATTCATCTGGTGTGAAGCCTCTAAATTCTACAATTTATTCTTGCGGCGACCCCTCTCTGGGTTGTTCATGTGGTGATTGCCCTTCTTCTTCTGTTTGCACGGGATCCTTGCTGCCTCAGCTGAATACAGATACCTCCTGTTCAGTTAAAATGGGATCTTTAAAGGTAGGCGATATCTTGTTACCTGAATCTATATGTATGGTGAAATTATAGAAGGATCGGGTCTAGTATACTAAGCTCTATATTTATCCTAACAATTTAGAGATGCCGTAATAATAAATGCATTAGAAAATGGCACAGATCATGTGTTGTCATAGGCAAACATCGTGTTAGATTTGGCTGAACTATTCTCCATGCATGTGCTCATATGCTTGGATCATGTACTTATTGGATATACAACTTAATTTAACTGTGAAAAACAAATGTCTTCATTAAATCTTTATGGAGTATGTATCACCTAAGGCGCTAAAAAACTTTCCCAACATCTAACTAAATTAATACATTAACTTCTGTTGAGATTCTATGGGTTCAAAATTTTGTCCATTATTTAGCAATCTTTTGGATGTTTTCTTAATTGTGTGGTGTGCCCCTTAACTTATATTCCTTTCTATATCTACAGGCCAAATGCTTGGACTTCTCACTAGTGGTTATTTACCTTGCGTTACTATGCGCTTTTCTGCTATGGGGTTTGTTACACAGAACACGAGGAAGAACTGCTTTCTCCTTGCAAACAAAACCACTGAGGAATTCAGATAATAAGTCGGACTCGAACAAAAATGGCAAGAGCCCTCATAACTCAGTTCAGGTCCTCTTCTGCCAAATCGTTTTTCATGGCCAGAGCTTGATGCTAACTAGAATATTTATTTGTCAGTTTTGAGTATTTATGTGATTGTCTTGAGTATTTATGTATTTTTTTAGTTCCTTCTAGCATGTTTCTCTAGTATTTTTTTTGAGAAAAATGCTGGCACGATTATAATAGCTTATTTCATTACATAGCACTTGAGTTCTTACTTCTCCCAAGTTCATTGTTTTCTTTTTGGTGAATTTATCTTGGTATCAGGTGCCCGAAGCTGCATCCTCTACTGTCAAACCATCCAATCCTTCTATTGTTCAAACTTACATGTCAATTTTCTTTAGGTTAATTTCCTTCTTCAATTGTATCCATACAATTAATATTTCAAGTGCTTAAACACTATCTTAATTTTTTAAAAGTATATTGCAGGAAGCATGGAATTTTTGTTGCTAGACACCCTCTCCTTGTGTTATGTGTGTCATTGCTTGTCCCTGTCCTCTTATGCATTGGTCTCTTTCGCTTCAAGGTTGAAACCCGACCAGAAAAGGTACTTAATTTATTGCAATCGTTAATTTTCGACATTGTTGTCTTCTCATAGTAAGACCTACCTTTGGTAAAATACTCAGAATCCAAAGTTGAGATCTGTAATTAAATTTGTGGTTTTGTATTTGATATTTATTATTACTTGGTCCATTTGGTGTAAGTACTACACATTTCTTCTGATGGTTACTACTCATAAATTAGCATCCTGTAACTCTGGAGCATGAAAAATGAAAGTAACAGACATCACAAGTGATTTCTAATTTTCTATGTATGTTTAGAATGATCGCTTCACTCTGTTATTTATAAGACTAGATGTACATTTTTAAAAATAAAATGGAAACCACAAATCCTCTTTCTATACAACAGTGAATCTTTTTCTGATACCATTGTATCCTTATGTTAGATATGTTCTCTTAATGGCTATGATCCTTTTTGCATATACCGAAAGTTCAATAACGTTCACATTCTCTATAATTATCACTTTTCCATTTCTTGGAGCCTGGAGTATTTGGAAACATTGCAACCGGTGTGTTTTTGATGGGATCTCTTCTATCCTTTCTGGAGTATTATTACTTGCTGGGGAGGAGCTCTATGACTGGAGTTGGGCAGGGGCTAGAGGCATTTTCTTCCTCCTTGCCCCTGTGCTGGACTCTGAACAGTAGTGTTCTTTGTTAGTCGGGGTTGCCTTCCTTTATTCAAAAGGCACATTCTGTTTTTTTTTTGGGTGGGTGGGGTGGGGGGGGCGGTGGCTAGTGTGGGTTGTTTGTAAGGGCTCTTGCCCCTTTACCTTCTTCTTAGTGTAACGTAATGATACACAATTCTCTGAAAAAAAACACTTTTCTATTTAACTTTTAAAATGTCAAATATACATTACAAACATTAATAAAAGTATTGGGCTTACCACAATCTCGAACAATCTAAAAATTTGGTAATCATCTTACTAATAGTAAATCCAGCAACTAAATAGTTTACATTGTTAGCATTCTCGCATGCTGGGTGGTTAATATGCTTAATACCATAACTCTAACGTTGATCTAATATGTAAGCATACACAGAAATAAATATAATTGTATTAGCTATGTCCATGACCCACAAAATGAATTGGCATAATTCAGAACTTAAGACTTCATATGCAAATTATCAATCAGTTGTAAATACATCTACAATACTTCCTGTTTATTTGATCAAGCAGTTATGAATACATTTTCTTTTCGAAAAACTTGTGATTTCAATTCCTTCTCTTTTGTCAGCTTTGGGTTAGCCCTGGAAGTCAAGCTGCTGATGAGAAGAATTATTTTGACAGCCATCTCGCACCATTTTATAGGATTGAGCAGGTCTTTTCAACTCTTATACCTCATTTATGTCCAATGGCAATGGCATTTCTTACAAATTGTATTAGCTGAATTCTTGTCGTATAGAACAGTTCTTTTCCTGTGATTAGGGGCGGGCGTTCGGTTTTAACCGAATTATCGGGTCCGAATATTTTGACATCCTATCTGTGGTTTTATTTTTCCTGTTTTCCATTTGGAAATGAATGTTCTAAACAGTGAATTCTGTCGTTAATTGTTGTTACTGCAGCTTGTGTTGGCCACTTCTGCATCTGGTGGGTCCGAAGCTCCTTCAATAGTAAATGACAACAATATGAAATTACTTTTTGAGATTCAGAAAAAGGTAGGAAACTCACATAGTAACTTGAATTTTGGGACTGTGTTTGCCGTATGGTTCTCACGTTTCTTCTAATTGTAAAGGTTGATGATCTACGTGCAAATTATTCTGGGTCTCCAGTAGCCCTTGCTGACATTTGCTTAAAGCCACTCAGTACAGATTGTGCTACTCAAAGTGTCTTGCAGGTGATGATCCTATAGCGTCTACTGTCTAGTTTCTGTATTGAAACCAACTTGGTTTCTCAAGAATTATACAAATTTTATACCCCTGTTTTGTGTTTAATATGGTTTCTTCAAAACACTATAAAAGTGATAGTTTCAATGCTCAATGCTGCAGTATTTCCAGCTGGATCCT